TTATATATATATATATATATATATATATATATATATATATATATATATAATGCCCCATTCAAGTTCTTCCTTGTAATTATCAAGTCATGTGGTATATCGCTAACAATCATTGAGTTCGTGTTACCTCATAAAAAGAATTGTATGATATATGTGAAGGAGAATTACTAAATCATGCCTCTATCTACTGCCACACCATGCTTTGATGTCAAATCAATCAATAATCTCCTCTTTCCAACCTATGTTATTGGCATCATCATTTACTTGGACAAAGCAAGCTAGCACAGGGCTGCTCGTTTATAAGCCTCTCCTCACTCTCTTCTCCCCTCCTCTTCCACTGCACTTAACTAGGACACTTTCTCTCATCCTCCATCTTCCTCTGCCTTCGCAATGTCAACTTCTTCTTCACCGAAGACCAATGACATGAAAAGTCCCTTCCTTTAGGCTTCGTTCTCTGTCTCTGCGTCTGTCTCTAAACAGAGCCTTTTGAGGAGTAGAAGAGGAAGAACGGCCTTACTCTGTGTCAGCCTCTGCAGCTTTTGATTTATTTGACATGGGCATTAGCTACGAGTGTGGTTCCTCCATCCTCCTCTGCCCAGAAGACAGCAACAGCGTCCTGGGGTTCGATGAGAGGGAGGAGCAAGAGCAGGACCCCGAAGGAGAAGTCGAAAAGCGTGTCCTTGGGCATTTCCCTGGCAAAAGGAGCAATTTTTATGGGGGCTTTCTGATGGATTCTGCCTTGCTGTCGGAGGATTGCATCGCCTCGCTGGTCGAGAAGGAGTTGCAGCATCTCCCTCAGGGAAACTATGCCGAGAGGCTGCTGAGGGGGCAGCTGGACCTGGCGGTGAGGAATGATGCCATCGACTGGATTCAGAGGGTGGGTTGAGTTGTTCTTTGTTTCCATGCTTTTTCAGTCTCCTACATCTTCCAATTTCTGGATTTCTCAGTACGATGGTTTCTCTGACAGATTTGATTGATCGACATTCGATCCCTGAGACCATTGATCTAACCGATTACAGTTCTTACTTCTTATCTTTCATTGTGATGCATCTGATGTTATTTGTGCCTAGAACAGTCAAAAGCCATCCTTTTTATCAGTATGACAATGGATTCATTTTCTCTTCCCCCATATCTACACGCTCTTGATGCTTTTTCTTCTTCCTACATGTCTCTTTTACCGGAGAGCTTCTCCACCTTGTAATTACATAGTTTTCGTTCCTGCATTGACAGGTTCATGAACATTACAACTTTGGACCTCTGACTGCCTATCTGTCTGCAAATTACTTGGATCGATTCTTCTCCTCTTACGAACTTCCGGTAAGAAAAATTACTGAGGTACTTGCTTCTTTAATGTGATTCATGTAACAATGCGTCATGCTCCTATGACTCCATTTCCAGCAAGGTAAGGCCTGGATGACACAGTTGTTATCAGTGGCCTGCTTATCTCTCGCTGCCAAGGTGGAGGAAACTGAGGCCCCTTTCTCTATAGATTTACAGGTTAAACAAGACATCAAAACTGTTTGTGTAGATGGTAATCTTGGACTGCAACTTTTTATTGCTGATCAGTGATTTGTGTCCGCACAAACAGGTAGGAGAGGCAAAATACGTATTTGAAGCCAGGACAATACAGAGGATGGAGCTTCTAGTGCTTAGCACCCTCAAGTGGAGGATGCAAGCGGTCACACCTTTCTCATTCATTGTTTACTTTCTGTGTAAATTTCATGATGCAAATTCACCTGATGGCTCATTAATTTCTCGCTCCATCGCCCTCGTTTTGGCCACTGTTCGAGGTCAGTGATCTGGAGTCGCATGTTTCCGAGCAACTGTGAGGGACATTTAGATCGGATGGCAAGCCTAACATGAGAGTGTGGCTATAATTCAACAATTGCAGGGGTTGATTTCCTGGAGTTCAGACCTTCCGAGATTGCTGCAGCAGTAGCACTATCAGCCTTGAAAGAGATTCAATTTCTGGAGATCGACAAGGCTTTAGCTTGCTGCTGCATCCATGTAAATAAGGTAAGGGTTGTTCATCTGCTACGCAGTGCTTCATTGAGCAAATGCTATTTACGTCAAAAGACCTCAGTTTTCTGCAATGGATTCAGGAGAGAGTTTTGAGGTGTCATGAAGTGATTCAAGAGATGGCATTGATGAAGAACGGGACATATGCCAGTACATCAGTTTCCGCTGTGCCAAAGAGCCCGATCGGGGTGCTGGATGCTGCATGTCTGAGCTATAAGAGCGATGACACAGCAGTTGGGTCACATGCAAACTGCGACCATTCCTCTCCAGCTGCCAAGAGGAGGAAACCAAACAGAGCATCAACTTCATGAGAGAAGAAGGCATCGTCTGTGGTGTTCATCTCTTTGATAGGTTTTCCCAGTCGATTTAATTTGTCAGTGAACCTCCTTGTCGTCGTGGCCAGGATCAGTAGATGAGGAAAAGGGAAATAAATGAGTTGAGAATGCTAAGCTCATGCTTTCCCATGAATGCACCTGACCAAACCAACATTCTTACAGTAAGATAATGAGATAGATCGGGGCTGGAAGTCTTATTTTGTGATTGCTACAAGAATTGAGGGAAATATGGTCATCTAGCTCTGCTTTTCTTCTTAAAACTGTTGCTTTGTTTCAATAAAATCTGTGTCATGGCATGCATCAGATTTCTTCCTCCTGTACATGTATTTTGGTGATGTCCTTGCACTGTTTGACTATGTGTCTGCTGAGATTCTTGGATTTGCTGTCCCCTGTGACATGAAGGCAGAGCCCACTGTTCAGTACAGATCTTGGGATGGCAGCATACAGACGGAGAATAAATATTCACAGGGAGGAGTGGTGGGAGAGGGATGGGGGACCTCTTGGAAGTTTCAGGTTCCAGTCCAAATATGACCATGGAATTATTCCCCTCATGGCTTGCCATTCCTTCGCTTTTGTTTCACCTGCATCACATGCAGACAAGGATTAAGTACTTGCTCACACCCAATCTTGTGTGCCCGAGAGCTTTTAGCACCAGTTAAAAACACTAAGTACCATAATGGCACTGCACTTTACGTGCAGTACTGTAAATGCCTTCAGTTCCCTGCATGTGAAAGCAATGCTCGCGAGGATCCTGTGGCTCTCTCTCATGGCGAAGTTGAGGTCAGGTCATGATCCGAGCAAGTTTGAAACGAGAAGCTCTGACGATGAATGGCCCCATTCCATTTGCAGAGCTCTTTGCCTGCGGGTCACATACTATGGCGTGTGTGCCGATGTTAGCCGATGCTGTCTGTGACAGGCCTCCCTTGTGAGCCATGAAATCGAGAATTTGGCTCCTTGCAAGTCCATGAAAGGGACCAAAGAGAAATTACTTTCTTGATAACTGGGAAAAGGGAACTTGTGTGCAATCCCATGGGGAACTGTCATGTTGGTTGGGGGGGATAGAGCTTCATCACTACCTTTGTCCCCACTGCCCAGCCACTGGCTCACTGTTGCCGAGGGGAATGCAAAACCAAGGAAACGAAAACAAAAGTTATTAGGAATGATTTGATGTCGATAGGGTGGGTGACTGAATCTTTCAAAATGTTTTTGTTTTCACAAAAACAAAAACACGAAAGAGAGAGCAGATGGAAGTCTGCTGAGTTCTTATCACCTCTAAAATTTAATAGATAAAAGGAAAGAGTGTCAGCGCAGAATCATAAGAGATAAGATACAGAAGCATTGATTAGAGAGCCTTTGAACTGTAACACGCAGCTGACTCTGTAAGGGATCTTTCTTTCTCATCTCTTCTGCACTGCACTGCACTGCACTGCTATACCACCATATCATTAAAGGATCGAAATAAATGACTAGTTTATACAATCTTTTCACTCTTCACTGAGTCCAACACCCAAACATCATTATAACAAAAGCCTTTGAAGATTAAACCGAGTGTGCATCATATATATCTGTATATATATAGATATATATATATAGAGAGAGAGAGAGAGGGAGAGAGAGTATGATATAAGGTGGCCCGTCTCCCATCTTCCTGGGTGGACCATCATATACTGAGAGTCACGCGCATCAACAACTAATGCATTGCTACCAGGATCAAACACAAACGAGCATCTTCAATGTCCAAAACGATTATTGGCCTGGGACACTGCCAAAGGTATCTCAGAAGCACCAATCACCCCACAACTCTTGTTTGTTCTTGATGGTAGAGGAGAGGGGCCATGGTGAGGTTGGAGGAGGACGAGCAGCAGTGCTGGTTCGCTTACAGTCGCGTTGGCTTGGGTGGGGGAAGAAGGCAAAGGAGTTGGTGGGAAGGACGTGAGAGTTATTGCCTCGACAGCTTGCGCCGTGTGGCTGTGAGCAGTTTGCAGAATTGATGTGTCTGCTGTGCATTACGGCTCATACATCGTAGAGATCACGTCAAGCACAGAGTCGTATTGTTTGATCTCGCTCTCTCTCTCTCTCTCTCTCTCTCTATGCAACGGTCCATTTCATTAATTGGGTTGATTATGGGTCCCAAAGAGTGCTTTTATTTTGCCAAGCCCGGCCCATAAGCACGACACGTGACGAAGAGATCGGATCCAACGTCTCTGTGCCGTCCCCATCACCCCCTGCAGCACATCTGGACCGTACGATTCTGTCCCGTTTCGGATTCGCGGTACGTTCGCGACTCGACCTCGTCAACCCATCCATCACTGTATTGCTTTCGTGTGTCTATTCATCCTTCGTCTTCTTCTTTCGTGTGATCTCCGTGGATTGCGTGTCTCGGTCTTTCGAGGACGAGCAGGCGCTCCACGTATGTCGTCTCTTTCCGCGAGCTGCCGCTCTCTCGTCTTCCTCCCGTGGTTTCGCCCAAAGCGTTTTGATGGCCCCACGCAACGCAGCCTCTGAGTCAAACTGCGGCGTGGAGGTGCGCTGGCTGTGGCCCATTCCGTCCATCGCGACGCCCGAACCGAGAGACGAAGAGTTGTCAGAAACAGTATCTGGTAATTTAATCTTCAAAGTAATAAAGGCAAAATAATATTCAAAATAATTGTCATCAACATCATTCCATCTAAGAGCTTAGGTTAGGGTTTTAAATGATACATGATCTATAATTTCATATTCCTAACACTTTCGTTCGCATGTGGATGATAAATATCTCAACTCAATATGTGAAATTTGTGTTAGTTGAATATTATTGAGACACAAATCAAATCAATTATATATATTTAATTATATGAAGCATCGAAGCCTTCTTCCTCTAAAAGAGCTAAATAAGTACATTATCACTAATCATTATCACTCTATGTGAAATACTTATTTGACTAAAGACTTTCAAACACATCATAAATTAAATTCACACTAACGAATAATTAATCTGTGATAAATAGAGGAGGTATAGTAATACTATAAATGATCGAGCATCCGAAATAACATTAAAGACATTATAAGCTCGATAAATTTTGTGACATTATAAGAGGAGGCACATAGGACCAAACACACACAAACAATCATTCAAATAATTAAAACAATTGATGAGATACACCAAATGATTTGATTAAAGAACTAACAATAATGCCCATAAAAGAACTTCATATTAAGTAGACTTTGAATGGAGGGGCTCCTTCTATCCAACATTTGTCTTTATTCCCTCCAACCATAAGCAAGGAGCCATGCAATCAATCTCATAAAAGCCATAGTATTTGGTAGGTTAGGTTCCATGGCATGCCTACTTAAACTAATGCTCCATATCCTCTTCTATCATATGCGTCATGCAATATATCACCACTGCTTAGTATACAATATTTTGTAGGGGCAGACGTCCTCATTTGCCTTTCTCAACAGTCAAATATCATAGAGAGTTATTGGGAGAAGTAGGAAATGTCTTGGGTTGAATATAGTCAAAAAAAGAGAAAATAAGTCATATAAAACATTGTAATGAATTGACAAAATACTTTAATGTAAGAAAAGATGGAATGATAATCTTAAATAGAAAAAAACACAAGCACAAAAGGTAAATAGTTGAGTCCGGTGGGGATATCAGCAAGTGCGAAGGAAAGAGAGGGCTTCACATTGAGTGGTCTTGCAAACGCAAGGAAAGCATCCAACCACAGTCCACTACAAGACACCAAGATGAGAGAAAGGTTGTCAGTCATGGAGTCAGAAGCCACCATGAGAAAGTGATGTGCATTGGAGGAGGGGGAGGGGGGAGGAGGAGAATGAGAAGACACTCTCCATCCATGTCAATGGCCACACCCACCACCATGCTTGACTATGCTTGATGATGGAATCTTGGAGGCAATTATTGATGCTCTTAGGAGTTCTAAACACCATATTTAGGTTTGGTTGTCTGTTTTGAGTTGGCTTCGGACGAGTGATAAGTGATGGAAGATTATTAAAGCTCCAATAATTGTGTATAAAAGGATCCTTTGAAGGGAATTTATGCATCAATGTAACATGTATTGGACTCACATAGCAACATAGTGTGGCATTGAAGTAATCGTATAAAAGGATCCTTCGACGGGAATTTACGCATGAATACAACATATGTAGTGGACTCACACAGTAACGTAGTGTGGCATCGAAGTAATTATAGCGAAAGGCTTATTTCTCGGCACCTCCATCATAGAAATATTTTGACCATCAAGGGCAGCTTGATTGGCTTAATTTACGGTTAACCACTGCTAGTTTGTTAGTAGATTCGGAGAAGTAGTAGGGGTATTATAGTCACATGAGGGCGATATATTCTGTCGCCATATCCACGCCTGCCAACACCGGTTTACTGCTGCCTTCCCTGTTCTTTATCCTCTCCCCTGGCCGAGCTCGTCCACCGATCATCGAGCAGAATTGGCTTTTTCTTGGTGCTCCACGTTGCTTAGAGCGAGGAAATTTCAGGTCTCCTCTGAGAAATCGCGACTCTTTTTCGTTTTCTTTGGGAGCGGGCTGGTAAAATTTTGAAGCTTCGTTCTTCCGAGTTCATAATTTGGTTCCTCTCCAGTAATTTCTGATGGCATCTTGGTACTCTGCATCATGTTATATTGTTATTTCTATGATAAAAATCGATTTTTTTATGCTGATTGCGGTAGATCCTTGGCTTTTTTCGGCGGAGTTGGTTGACCTTGTAGCTTTTCTGCCCCCAGTTTTTGGTTCATCCGTTTGTTTGATGGAGCGCTCAGTCGAGTGGTTCCAAAATCATTTCTTTCTATCTTTCGAAGTGCTTTGATCTTCTGTATCCCATGCTTTTGATGTCAAAAGAGCGATCTTTTTATCTTCCTTCTTTTGTGTTTCAAGTGGTTCGAGTTCTCGGCATTCTTTGGGGGGGCAATATATCTTATTTACTGGGCTGGATTTGGGTGTTTCAGCGATCTAAAGCGACCAAAGGAGGCGACGATCGAAGCTGTCCTGGTCAAAGAACGGAAGCAGTATGCGGTGGCTGTGTCTCTCAGTCGATGTTCTTCGGAAAGGCGTCTCCTTGAACTTGTACTGTCGGGTCATACTGTAGCTCGACTTGCCTCTCCTCTGGCTCGCTCTTTATCTCTGTTTCTGGTCTCAAAGCACTCTTGTGTTTCTCCTCCGAGTCCTTGTTGCTTTCTTCCTCAATTCTACCGGGATTTGCTCTTCTTCTTTCTGTAGATTCATCTGGTTTTGTTATTCCTGTCCTTCTTCTCTGCATCGCTTTTGGGTTTCTGGTGGACTGGTTCGATCTTAAGCGCAAGAAAGAGAAGTAATGGTGTGCCAAGCTGCGGCTCAGACGAGATTCCGAGCATTGAAACATGAGAGTGGGATTGCTGGTAGCTCCACCATAATCGTTAGGATCATAGCTTGCTTCCAGCCATTACAGGATTGCCAGGTAAAGAAGCATTATCTTCGATTGCTACAGTCTAAACTTCAGTGGCTTCTAAATAATCATGAACTTTGATTCCTCGCAGGCCGAGTACTTCCGCCACCTCCTCAAGCCGGTCACGTAGATTAGCTTCTGTTTGCTTTGCTGAATAAGGCTGTGATTATTGCAGTTGCTAGTAGATAATCTTGTGGAAATAACATTTGATCTTTGCTGATTGCCACCGGTAAATCCTCTGGAGCCCTGTAAAGATCGATGCTTATCTGATCAATCTGTGGATTGAACTGATGGCTCTTAGCCGGTGTTGCAGGTGCTTGCTTTGTGGGGAGTCACTGATGAAGAAATACCCTGATCCTTGGGTCAATATGCCGCACTCAACATGGCTGTTTAGTAGCTCGAACTCTGCTGCTGATCTCCAGAAGCCGGATATCAGCCGACAGAATGCGCCATTCAGGGCGTTCCCTAACTACATCAACCCCTTTGGCTGCTCCTCCTCTGGTGACGCTGCCGCACCGTTCCCTCGGATTCCAGCGCGCATATCCGCTGAGACCATGCCAACTTTGAATCCTCCTGCAATCCCCACCTTTGGCACACCGGAGTTTGCTGGATCTCACAAGAGATTTATGGGTTTCAGTCAGTCATGGGATCAAACAAGCTTAATTTTCAGCTCATCATGGAACCCATATCTGACTCTTAATCCTACAAATCAAAGCCTGGACCTTCAGGGGAGCAACGAAGTAGTTTCCGTTGGACACGGAGGAGAGGAGATGCATGAAGATACCGATGAAATCAATGCACTTTTGTACTCAGACTCCGATGATGAAGATTACGGGGAAGAGGAGGCCAGCACAGGGCATTCCCCGATCGAGCCAACAGCAGGGAGCTCATCGGAGGTAGCTAGCTCTGTCCTCCCTGTCAAGAGGAAGAGAATTGACGTGGATGAGCCTGATGCTTTGCTTGCAGACACAGCAAGCTCCCACCATCATGACCTTGGTTTGGAATTCAGGAACAGAAATACCAACACCGATGGTGAATCGAGCTGTGTGAGGGGAGAGGACCAGGACCGCAAGCGGATTAAGAGGGAGAAGATACTAGAGACGGTCAGGGTTCTCAGGAGGATCATCCCAGGCGGGAAGGGAAAGGATGCGGCCACCGTCCTCGACGAGGCCATCTGCTATCTGAAATCTCTCAAGCTGAAAGCCAAGGCTTTAGGTGCTACGCCACTGTTGGAACTCCGGTAGCATCCCCATTATCTTCTCCTACGTATAAATATTAGTATTGCAAGGTGGTATTAACCGCAGTAGTAGTAGTGTTACCAGTTCTCTAGGTCAATGAAGAAAGAAGCAAAAGGGAGAAGGCAATGAGTTCTCTCCACACGGATCCAATAATTGAAGGTGTGAATCAGTACCGGAAGACCACAGCTTTGGTGGAGCGTGAGAACTCTCAGTGTCATTGCTTTGACGGTGGGTGAGTGAGGAAGATATCATGGTCCAATAAAGCATAATTACGTCCTAGCCATGGAGGATTCCTAATCGATGCAAAGGGAGACCGAGAGAGGCCCCCCCCACCCCTTCCTTTTGACCAAAAGCGAATGATGCCGGGCATGGAGATCGCGCGTGTGCCATGGATTCGATAGAGTGGGAGCGCGCCTGTGCATGCGCGGTCGTTGGGTGGGTCGTGATCGCTCTTCCTCTTCCATGTTCCATCTTTTCATCCAGCTTTGTGCTGTAGTAGTAGTAGTAGCTTTAAGGGAGGGTTTAGAAACTGGAGGAGATTGCTGCTTGACTCTACTGTTGCATTCCACGATGACTTTGATGCTTGTTGACTTCATGATTAGCTTTGTTAAAGAATGGTGTTTGGGGAGGACTGTGGACCACTCTGTGAGCTCTGTTCCCAATTCGGGAGCCAGGCTGAAGTCCTCAGGTTCAGTGAGGAGTGCCATGCATTGATGTGGGGCTCTGCTCGTGGAGCTTTGTGATTACTACTGCTTCCTTCTCTCCTTCAGCTGCCACAGGCTTGACGTTGCCTGTGGTAGCTTATCCCGGTCCTCAAGAGGCTCCCATGGCAGCATGGTGCTGCAAGTTCATAGATCTTAGGTGATCAGATTGATGCATGGCTTTTGTATCTGCTGTCCTTATTCCTTCTGCTTTAATATAATTTGATCACCAAAGTGGTGAAGACAGGTAGAGGACGTCCTGTAATATGGCTACATATCAAAGATCTTTAGCGAATACTAAACATATAAATCAAGTCATTACTAATAAGCCCAATGACCTGAACTCGTTTTAGTGTTATTGAACATAATATGAAGAGAAAGGTGGAGGGGACAAACTTTGCCCCACACAGCACATGCTATAATACCAAGAAGATGGTGGTGAATGATGTGGGCATGGTCAGCATCTCACAAAAGTATTTATATGTTATTATATTTGTTTGAATATAAATGCCACGAATTATATTTTATTATTTTGTTGTTATAAATATAAATATTTTTATCAATACATCAATCGGTACCGAATTGGAGTTTTATTTTTTTTAATGAATTTGTTTTCTTGTTTTAATATTTTTCATGCACTGGAATAATTGATAAGGAAAATGATCGTGCCCTGCACGTGACATGACGTGGCTCCTGAGCATGAAAAAGCTTCTAATAACAGTGTTATATATATATATATATATATATATATATATATA